TTATAGAGTCGGCATTTTTAACGGGTAACGATGTGCACGGGGAATAGTTAGTTTAAGAAAAAAGTAATAAATCAAAAATATGTTGAACTTCTTAATTTCTATAAAAAATTTTAAATTTCATTAAATCCAAAAATAGAACAAAATAGAATCCAATTTAGAAACAATTTAAAGATAAAAAATTATTTAAATACTACATTAGCATGCGTACCAACGTAAGTATGTCACACAAAAAATAAGGAGCTTGGAAATTATTTGAACGGGTTCAGCCTACATACTAGCTGTGTAACTGTATATACTTGCTGAACCCGTGCACTTCGTAGCCCGTTAAAAATCCTCCTAGGTATGCGTCTGTGTGAACGATTCTCTGGCTTTCTGTATTCGATATCCGTCCCTATTCTGGCTGAGGCGGCTTCACGCTCAACAACAGATGCTTCTATATGACTCTCCGTATAACTGTATTCGATGTATATTCCTATCTCTAATTTGCTAGCGCTGCAACCGCTATATTTGTATCAACTGCTAAGTTTAAAAAAAACAATGGCAACTGTTATGTATTATTAGCATAAATAATAACATAAACGTATTAACGTATAGACATTTATTGTTAACAGTATAAATTGTAATGACGTAAATTATAGTTCTATTCGCTAATAACCGATGAACAGTCCCCACCAATCATAATATTATTGTGAGTATAAACAGTATACGTGTAAAATATCATATAATATAAATGTTGGATAATATGCAACAGCAACCAATTATCAATAAAAACCAATTTCTATTAATTGTTTCTCCTATAACCAATAGCAACCATTTACAAATAAAAATGTTCACCGAAAACCTCAAAACCCCCGTTTGAGCACCTCTCCAGTCTCCACATTACCAGGGTTTCTTTGCTATATCATGMATGTTATATACATATAAACTTTCCTCTTGAATCACTCTATTAATTAAAAAACCCGCATCAAAATCCGTTGCGTAGTTTTAGAGATTTTAGCATATACAGACAGACAGTGGGAAGCGATTTTGTTTTATACTATGTAGTGAAGTCCTTATTTTATATACCTATGTATTATATATATATGTAAAAAAATTAGATAATTGTATGATATTGACTGATTGCTGGTTTCGCCCGTTTGAAGATTTTTTCTGTGGAAAATCCTATTTATAGGTAGTATACATACCTATAGGTACACTATAAATATAAATGTGTATCTCAGTTTTACTGTGCTCAGATTACGAACATATTGGCGACTGGCGTTAGTGCACCTAGCCTTATGAAATAAATATAATAAAATGGACAATCGCAATTCGTGGATTAGATTTAGCACTTGTCTTGGAATATTTTTTAACGTAGTTTAAACTACTTAACTATACTCTTTGAACATTTCCGACATCTCAAAAAACAATCTCTGGGATTTTAGTCAAATTCAATATTAAGTAGTTTTTGAGTATATATAAGCTATACACAATGGTACATTTGGTTTT